CCTGAAAGTGACATGTTTACTACCTTAAATTTTGAGAGGATGTCTATCAAATAATCAATTTGGAATAACCATAGTTTCCCTGTCAGTTATTCTTGCAAGTAAAAATGGTCTTGGATGAAAAAGTGGCAGTGCACCTCGCAACTTAACTACACAAGTGCTTTTCTTGAGATCACCATTTGATTTCAGGATAAAGCAGCTGTGCTCCATGCCTATGTTCTATTTCATCACATAGCATATTTTAAAATGTGTAGTACAAGTTTGTAATTTAATAATAATTAATACTTTTTCACTGTTCCAGCAAGCGTAGTCAATTGCCCTTTCTTTTTTTTTTTTCTGTTTTTCTGCAATTACACCGCACTAAAGACTACAATGACTAGTAGTACAATTTCTTACCACTGTCATGCTTTATGCAAGCTGCCAGCAGTTTTATCCACTGTGGCTTTTGCACCATCAGTGCAAGTATCAACAAAGTTAAAAGAGGTAAATAAGCCTTAGTACTATGAAAATAGTTTTGCCCTTGGGGACTCCCAGGGGTCTATGAGCCACATTCTGAAAACTGCTGCCCCAGAGATGATAACAGGTATCTTTGATTTTTTTTTTTTTTAACAGTACTTTCCCCACTTCTTAGACAATGCAGAAGTCTTAGAGTACTTTAACGTCGAGTGGGCGCAGTGGCTCACGCTTGTAATCCCAGCACTTTTGGAGGCTGAGGTGGGCGGATCACGAGGTCAGGAGATTGAGACCATCTTGGCTAACACGGTGAAACCTCGCCTCTACTAAAAATACAAAAAATTAGCCGGGCGTGGTGGCGGGCGCCTGTAGTCCCAGCTACTCGGGAGGCTGAGGCAGGAGAATGGCGTGAACCCGGGAGGCGGAGCTTGCAGTGAGCCGAGGTCACGCCACTGCACTCCAGCCTGGGTGACAGAGTGAGACTCGGTCTCAAAAAAAAACCCAAAAAACAAAAAGAGTACTTTAACATCATTTACTTCCTTTTCTGTTTATATGTTATAGTTTCTAAGCATTTTATTTCCCCGTATTATTCATATCCCACAAGTCATTATGTTTTGTATATTAAGGCTCATTTACATACACCTACACATTCACCTGTCATTTTTCATGTCTTCCTGCATTTCTAAGCTCCTGTCTGAAGAATATCTATCAGTATTTCCTTCAGTATTAGTGGGTTTGCCAGTGTGAATTTTCTCAGTTTGAAAGTGTATTTCTCCCAGACTAAAAATGCCTTTATTTCACCTTTATTGTTGAAAGATATTTTTCCTGTGAATTCTTGGCAAATTTTCTTTCCAATACTTTGTAGACAGCATTTGATTGTCTTCTGGTTTTGTTTCTATTGAGAAGTCAGATGCCAGTATTATTCTTGCTCCTTTGAAGGTAATGTGTATTTGTTTCTCTCTGATATTAAGATTTTCTCTTTGTTTTTGATTTTCAATAGTTTGGGTAAAATGTGCCAAGGTGTGGTTCCCTTTGTATTTATTTTGGTTGGGGATTCATAGTGCTTCTTGAATCTTTCTAAATAAAACTGACCACTTTTTGAAAAATTTCGGCCATTGTTTCTTTTTTTTCATTTTTTTGAAATGGAGTCCACTCTGTTACCCAGGTTGGAGTGCAATGGCATGATCTCGGCTCACTGTAACCTCTGCCTCCCAGGTTCAAGCAATTCTCCTGCTTCAGCCTCCTGAGTAGCTGGGATTATAGGGGTGTGTCACCACACCCAGCTAATTTTTGTATTTTTAGTGGAGACAAGGTTTCACCATGTTGATCAGGCTGGTCTCGAACTCCTAACCTCGTGATCCACCCACCTCGGCCTCCCAAAGTACTGGGATTACAGGCATGAGCCACCATGCCCAGATGCAGCCATCGTTTCTTTAAATATTGCTTCTGCCTTACTCTTTTTCCCGTTTTTCTGGGACTCCAATTTTATGTATCTTATATACTTCTTACATTTTCTCTTGTCTTTTTCCTGTCTTCCTGTCTCTCCATGAACTATTCTAGACCTTTTCTTCTAGCATATCTTTTAGCTTACTGATTATTTCTTCAGCTATATCTTATTTGTTACTAAACCTATTTACTGAATTTTTAATTTCAGCTATTCTGTTTTTCAGTCCTAGACTTTATGTTTGAATCATCTCTACGGTTTCTGGTTCTCTATGTAATTCTCAATCTTTTATTTCCTTGAACATAAGAAGCTAGCTATTTTTGAAGTCTGGATATGATACCTCCCGTAACTGGAAGACTTATGGAAAGTTTCCCTATTGTTTCTCTTTGTTGTCAGCTATGTTATTTTGCCTTCTCGTGTGTGTGGTTTTGACTGAATATTGGAAAAACTGTAGATTTAAATTGAGAACTAGGATGATCATATTATATCCCTCTCTCGGGAAGTCTAGTGTTTGGTTCTGGCAGGGCGCTAGCAATGCTTGATCTCCTTAAGTCAATTAGGGATGGCGAAGTTTCAAATAGGACTTTAATCCCTTTGAAGGACAGCATATTTCTGGTTTGCCTTTACTCCTAGAGTATATACCTTTAGTGTCATTTAAAAACCAAAACTCAATCAGTCTCCCTGTGAAAGGCAGAAACAAAGAAAAGGAGAAAAGAGCATAATAGAAAAAGTGGACACCACTTTTGGTGTTGGTGGTTTAGGAAGTCCACCAACTGATGGTCCCTGAACTTTAATTTTATATTTAAATTTATAACACTTGTAGTGTTATAAATTTTTCAAAATCTCATGCTGTGTTTGTCTCATTGAGTTTTCTTCTTTTCCTGGATTTTGGCCCTGTAATTCTTCACTGTCTTGATAACTCTCCAATGCCTTCAGGCATTTAATTTTTATTTTTGAATTAAAAAAATTATTCAGATTTTCTAGGTTTTAAAGTGGGGAAATTGGTCCCAATTACCTAGTCTGGCATTGGAAGAAATGTGGCCATCTGGTACAGCTACTTTTGATTTGGCCTTATCTGGGAAAATTGAAGATATTTGTGTTCCATAAACTAGAAATTCCACACCCCAAATATTTACCTTAGAGAGAAACTTTTGCAAATGTAAACAAGGAGTTATAAATAAGAACGTTTATAGCAGTAGTTTCTAAAATAGCAATGCCAACCGACAGGAGAATGGATAAATCAATTGTGGCATTATTATTTATGTGGCATTTTGTTTTTATTCTTATAAAAATAATACAGCAGTGAAAATTGGTGAACTAAAGTTACATGTATCAGAACGGACAAATCTTTTGAATGTAATTTTGAGCAAAAATGTGATGTGCAAAAAAAAAAGCGTGTGTGTGTGTGTGTGTGTGTGTGTAGTAGTATTTACATTTGTAGCAGTGTGGGTCTGCCTAGTTATAATAGACACTGAACTGAATACAGTTTTATTTCTTTTCCCCCAGGTAGAAGGGGATAGGTTTGTGATCAGGAAGTGGCTGATAGATGATTCAATTTTGCTGATAATATTTTACTTCTTAAACTAGGTAGTAAATATAGCTGGGTGTTTCTTGTAATTTAAAAAATATTCTGGATTATCTTGTCTTGGATTGGTTAATTTAGTTCACTTACATTTATTTACATGATTGATTTCTAATTGTTTCTATTACCTTAGTTTGTTATTTTTCTTTTTTCACTTTTTAAATATCCTCTTTTCTTCTTTATTGCCTGGGTGGAAGCATTGATTAAAGGTTGTTTTTAAAAATTATTCATTTGCATATTTTTATTCAATTTTTATTCTCCTCTACTGCTTTGAAATTTGACCTTTTGTTTTCCTGATTGTCCTGGACACATTATCATGCATATTTAATTTAACGACATACTAAGCAATATCTTAATCCCCTTTGATTAATAAAAGGACGTTAGAATATCCCAAATCAAGTTACTACCCTTCCAACTTACAAGTTATTGTTGTGTAATATTCTATGACTTTTCTATGGCTTTATAAATTAGACTTTATTGTTACCTTATTGTTTTGTTAATGTTCATGCGTGTTTATCAGCTTATTTGCTCACCGTTTCTTCTTGCTTTTCACAAGGACCTTTTTGTGATTATTTTCTTTCCTTCCTTAGGGGAGGTGTGGTGGTTTACTCCCAACCACACGTATCTGAATATTTTTGTTTTACTTTCGCTCTTGTTGGGTACACAGTTTTGTGAAGTACACAATTCTGGGTTGGCATCTCCACACTTTGAAGGCACCATCACATTTCTTCTGGCTGTCTTTATGGAGGTGAAAAGTTTGTTTTCAGTCTTCTGATTATTCCTTTCAAGATTGTCTCTACTTTTTGTCTGGTGGCTTTAAAAAAATCTTATTTTTGCCTGTGGTGTTTTAAAGATTCACTATAAGCATCTGAAAGGACCTGAAACATTTACTCTTACTTGGAGTATATTGTGTAATTTCTGAATCTTGGATATATGTCTTCTGTTTGTTCTAGAAAGTTTTCAGCTAATATCTCTTGAAATATTACCTCTATTCTTATATATCTCACTCTCCTTCTAGGACTCTGACTGGATATATGTCAGAGCTTCTTATTCTATTCTCTGTATGTCTTTCCTTACCTTTATATTTTCTGTTTCCTTATCTCTTGATACTGTATTTTGGGTAATTTGATCAGACTCTTATCCTGGGGTTCACATATTTTATTATTAGTTGTGTGTAATCAACTTGTCAAGCATCCATTGAATTTTTAAAAAATCAATTAAAATTTTCAGTTTTAGAAGTTCTGTTTGGTTATTTTTTAAACCTATTTGGTCATTCCTGATGGTCTCTTGTTTACTTTTTATCTTTGTGATTCCAATGTTATTTTCTTTATGCATTTCTTGCCTTCTTTTTACGTTTCATACATTGATATAGTATGCATTGGATTATTTCATATCTGCAGTCCTGAGGTGTTTGAATCTATTATTTGTTACATTTATTGACTGCCACTGACAGATACTTGCCATCTTCTCTTTCTGTGACTTTTCATTGTGAGCTGACTGCTTATTTTTTAATCTTATTTTCAGATTTTTTACTCCTGAGGGCCTCATTGAGGGATGCTTTCCTCCAGAGATTTCTGTCTAGTTCTGCTGTGAATCAGGTGCACGGAAGACTTGAAGACATAGCCATCACCTTTGAGCATCTCATATCTGCAAGGACTGCCAGGCTCAACTCCTCCACCTTGCTCTTTGTCCCAGGCTCAGGATCCTAATTGCAATGGTAATTGGTGCTCATCCTCAAGGCCAGCAAACCTCTTCATTTCATACACTGCCAGCTTATCCCAACTGTATTAGTCTGTTCTCATGCTGCTAATAGAGACATGCCTGAGACTGGGTAATTTATAAAGAAAAGAGGTTTAATAAACTCACAGTTCCATATGGTTGGGGAGGCCTCACAATCATGGTGGAAGGTGAAGGAAGAGGAAAGGCACATCTTACATGGCAGTGGGCAGGAGAAGTGCCAAGCAAAAGGGGAAAACCCCTTATAAAACCATCAGATCTCATGAGAATTCACTCACTACCACAAGAACAGCAGTATGGGGGTAACCACCCCCATGATTCAACTATCTCCCACAGGTCCCTCCCACTACATGTGGGGATTATGGGAACAATTCAATATGAGATTTGCGTGGGGACACAGCCAAACTATATTTAACCAGCTTTAGATTTAGCTCACATTTTGAGGAAGACTGGCCGGTTTGAAGACTTCCACATACCTTGAAAGCCCATTGATGTGTCAAAAAGTCCATGTTATTGAGACAGTCTTGTTTTGATTTGTGACAGTCTTGTTTTGATTTGCGACAGTCTTGTTTTGATTTGTGACAGTGCCTTTGCGCACTTGGTCTGCCATTCTCTAGGAGTGTGGAAGTTATTGTATTATTCTGTATTAACCTTTTTACTTCTTTAGCTCTCATAAATACTGCATGATAAAGGAGATCATATTTTCTACTTTGAAGAACTATTATAAGTGTTAGGAAGCCTAGGAAGCTGCTAGCACTTAGTAGATGCTAAATAAATGGTAGCTAACAACAACACTAAAGGTGATTCAGTATTTGCTGAACTTGATTGAACATATATTGATGGTTATAGGTGGACAGACCTTGGACATATATAACTTAACCTTACAACACTATAAGGTTGGTCATATCGTCTTTCTTTTACAAATTGGGAAACTGAGGCTCAGTGAGTGTATGGAGCAGCATCACTTTATTAAATGATACGAACTATACAGTAGTGTCTAATGGAACATTTGGCTCATCCATTTATTCATTCATTCTTTCGGAAAGTAGTTATTGAGTGCCTTTGCCCCGGGACTGTGGTGATATATAATGGGTGTTTGCCTTATCAGGGTCCTGGAAAAAGCGACTTTGACAATTCTCCCACCCCCTCCACTGTCCCTGAGCTTCACAGTTTTCTCAGGATGTTGAGATCTGTGCATCTCACTTTCCCTTGGGGCTTGGACCCTCCAAGCAAGTGGTCCCTAGTAATAACCATTCTCCTATAAATTAATTGGAGCTTGTGGGCCCTGCGTTATAAGCACTGCAATGCAACTTTGTTTTAGGACAGTTGTTTGAATTAAGGTGCAGATGTGATGTGTGAGTGACAGTGTGTCACCGGTATTTAGTATAGGCATACCTCGTTCTTTTGCACTTTGCTTTATTGCCCTTCACGGTTTTCATTTCTTTTCTTCAGATTGAAGGTTTATGGCAACCCCCGTTAAACAAGTCTATTGGCACAATTTTTCCAACAGCATGTGCTTACTTTGTGTTTCTGTGTCACATTTTAGTAATTCTCACAATATTTCACACTTTTTCATTATTGTTATATTTGTAATGGCGATCTGTGATCAGTGATCTTAATGTTACTCCTGTAACTGTTTTGGGGCACCACGAAGTGTGTCCAAATAAGATGGTGTGCTCTGGCTGCTCCATTGACCAGCCATTCCTCCATCTATCTCTTTCTCTCCTTGGGCCTCTTTACTCCGAGACACAACAACATTGAAATTAGGCCAGTTAATACCCCGTACAATAGCCTCTAAGTGTTCAAGTGAAAGGAAGGATCACATGTCTATCGTTTTAAATCAAAAGCTAGAAATGATTAAGCTTAGTGAAGAAAGGATGTCTAAAGCTGAGACAGGTTGAAAGCTAGGCCTCTTGCACTAATTAGCCAAGTTGTAAATGTAAAGGAATAATTCTTGAAAGAAATTAAAAGTGCTGCTCCTGTGTACTCATGAATAATAAGAAAGTGAAAACAGCCTTATTGCTGATGTGGAGAAAGTATTAGTGGTTTGAATAGATAAGACCAGCCACAACATTCCTCCAAGTCAAAGCATGATCCAGAGCAAAATCCTAACTTTCTTCAATTCTATGAAGGCTGAGAGAAGTGAGGAGGCTGCAGAAGAACATTTGAAGCTAGTGGAGGTTATTTCATGAGGTTTAAAGAAATAAGCTGCCTCCATAACATAAAAGTGCAAGGTGAAGCAGCAAGTGTTGATGTCAAAGCTGCAGCAAGTTATCCAGAAGATAATTTAGGTGGATAATTGATGAAGGTGGTAACACTAACAACAGATTTTCAATGTAGGTGAAGCAGCTGTATGTTAGATAAGAAGATGCTCTCTAGGACTTTCATAGTTAGAGAGGAGAAGTCAATGCCTGGCTTCAAAGCTTTAAAGGACAGGCTGACTCTCTTATTAACTGCTAATGCAGCTCGGTGACTTTAAGTTGAAGCTGATGCTGGTTTACCATTCTGAAAAGCCTAGGGCCTTAAAAATGATGATAAATCTATGCTGCCTGTGCTCTATAAATGGGACAACAAAGCCCGGATGATAGCACATCACTTATAGCATGGTTTAGTGAATATTTTAAGCCTGCTGTTGAGATCTGATGTTCAGAAAAAAAAAGATTTCTTTCAATACATGACTGCTCATTGACAATGCACCTGGTCACCCAAGAACTCTGATGGAGATGTACCTGGAGATGAATGTTGCTTTCATGCCTGCTAACACAACATCCGTTCTGTAGCCCAAGGATCAAGGAGTAATTTCAACTTTCAGATCTTATTATTTAAGAAGTACATTTCGTAGGGCTAAAGCTACCATAGATAGTGATTCCTTTGATGGATCTGGGTAAAGCAATTGAAAACTTTCTGGAAAGGATTCACCATGCAGAACACGCATGATTCACAGAGGAGGTCATCAACATTAACCGGAATTTGGAACAAAAGTTGATTCCAACCCTCGTGGATTACTTTGAGCATTTCAAGACTTTGGTGGAGGAAGTAACTGCAGATGTGGTGAAAGTAGCAGAGAACTAGAATTAGAAGTGGAGCCTGAATTGCTGCAATCTCATGATCAAACTTGAATGGATGAAGAGTTGCTTCTTATGGATGAGTAAAGAAAATTTCTTGAGAAGGAATCTACTCCTGGTGAAGATGTTCTGAACATTGTTGAAATGACAACAAAGGATTTAGAATATTCTGGAAGTGTAGTTGATAAAGTGGCAGAGTTGACTCCAATTTTGAAAGAAGTTCTGTGGTAGGTAAAATGCTATCAAACAGCTTGCATGCTGGAGAGAAATCTTTCTGGGAAGGAAGAGTCCATTGATGTGGAAAACCTCATCAATGTCTTATTTTAAGAAATTGCCACAGCCACCCCCAATCTTCAACAACCACTACCTTGATGAGTTAGCCGCCATCAACACCGAGGCAAGGCCCTCCAACAGCAAAAAGATTAGGACTTGTTGAAGGTTCAGATGATTGGTAGCATTTTTTAGCAATAACGTATTTTTAAATTAAGGTATGTATATTGTTTTTCAGACAGACTGCTACTACACACTTAATAGACTACAGTTGATATGGTTTGGTTGTGTTCCCACCCAAATCTCTTCTTGAATTATAATTCCCATAATTCCCATGTGAAGGGACCTGGTGGGAGATAATTGAATCATGGGGGTGATTTCCCCCATATGTTCTCATGGTAGTGAATAAATCTCAGAAGATCTGATGGTTTTATAAGGGGAAACCTCCTTTTGCTTGGTTCTCATTCTCTCTCTGCCACTGTGTAAGCCATGACTTTCGCCTTCTGCCATAATTGTGAGGCCTCCCCAGCCACATGGAACTGTGAGTCCATTAAACCTGTTTTTGTTTAAAAAAAATAAATTACCCAGTCTCGGGTATGTGTTTATCAGCAGTGTGAAAATGGACTAAAAATACAGTATGGTATAAACATAACTTTTATACACACTGGGAAACCAAAAAAATGTGTGTGACTCACTTTATTCTGATATTCATTTTATTGTGGTGGTCTAGAACCATGAGTGCAGTATCTCCAAAGTATGCCTGCAATTAGTAATGCCATTAGAAGGGACTGATGAGCCCATGGGTATTCACAGCCTGTCCCATAAGTAGCTGGTGCTCTTGGTGAGAGCAGGGTTAGCACCATTGGGTCCCCTTGTTCTCTCCAGAGCTGTCTGGATGACAGGAAGTGCACGGCACTCTGGCTACTACTGGCCACCTACTGGAATTTTCTATTACTTCTCATCACATCCAACTCTTCTAGAGGCCTTTAGTCTGCTGTGACAATACCCCCAGCCCCTGCACTGTCCCTGAGTCCCATAGTTTTCTCAGGATGGTGCGATCTGTGCATCTCACTCTCCCCTCGGGGTCGGACTCTTCCTTCAGCTCCCCCAGGTCTGGGGAAGAGGCTTGGTTATGTTCTACTTACAGATGATAGTAAGTGCCATTGGGGTGAGATTCATAAGCTTAGAAGGCAGCGACCTGCCTGGGCTCCACCTTGGGAATGGTGAACCTAGTCTTTATGCAGGATTAAACCTTTTCTGTGCATTTGTAGATGGGGTTGTGTGGTGGTGAGAGGGAAGAGGATGGGATGAAAATGAGAGCAAGCCTTATATTTTATTTTCTCTCTATCAAGCATTCATTTATTGAGCATCAGTTTGCACAGCTACTGAGTATCAGGGGATTCAAACCCACGTCTGTCTCGACTCTGCAGCCCCACTCCTGCTACCCGAAATAACGCTCCCCTCCCAGGGTAGCTATAAAGCATTTGAGACACTGTCTACAGCGTGGCCCCACAATGCCTGGAGTGTAAGAACTCGGTGTGCGGTAACTTCTTTCTTTCTCTGAGCAAAAAAGAAATCTTAAAAGAAAGTGAAAAATCTGTTGCCTTGGAGAAGTTTGAGAAGGAACCAGAAAGTGTGTGGGAAGGAATTCGCTCAGCCTGGGCTGCCATGCCGGTTCTGGTGGGCTCCACCTCCGAGCGTCCCCTGGCTGATGGGGGCATTTAACCACCTCCTCCAGGTTTCGTTCCCCCCACTTCACCCACACGGAACAGCAGTTCTCACAGACAGACGGGCTGGCGAGTTAGCATCTTTCCATGATGAACGGTGCTGCACCAAGCCTTATCTTTCATTTATGATGATTGTGCTTATAATGAAGGACTGCAAATCTGACAGATTGAAGATCATCTTGAAGGCTGTACTTTTCATAGTTCTTGCAGTTTGGATTGATTTGAGGGAGAGAAAAAGGGAGAGAGGCTCTCTGTAAAGAAAACATGATTTTTATGTGAATAGTCATTACAGACCAGGATTATATTATATTCATCTCCCCACGCAGAAACGACACCGGCAAACATCCTTCCTTTATTTTCCTGAGTAAAAGAAGGCCTCGTGGTTTAACAAGCCAAAGGGAACACATGCAATGAATGAAGTGGCAAAGTAATGGCCTCCCCATCCTTCCTCCTGCTCCTAGAGAGCATCCCAGTGTCAGACATGGTTAGCCTGGAGATTTGGCTTTTTGCCTTTCACCTTTGGACAGGTCACTTCATAACCTTGAGCCACAGCTACTCATTTTAAAGGTGAGCCTCTGGTTTTGTATTGCTGTGTAGCAAGCCACCTCATACTTGGTGGTATAAACCATCAATACTCATTTATTATTGTAATCTCTCCTGGTTCTGGGCTCAGCTGGGCAGTTCTTAGGCAGGACCTCTCATGGGGTTGCAGTCAGATGGTGGCTGGGCTGGAGTTACCTGGAGCTTCCACACTCATGTATCTGGTGCTGGCTGCTGGCTGTTGGTTGAGATTTCAGAAGGGATTGTCAGCAGGGACATCTACTCGCAGCCTCCTCGTGTGCCCTGGGCTTCTTCACAGCGTGGTCACTGGGTCATCTGTTGTTAAACACACTCACTGAGGCCCATCCAGGCTCAAGGAGAGGACACACAGGCTGCAGCTCTTGCTGGGGACATGGTAAGGCTCTGGGATGGGATGTGGCTCTTTCTGGAAAATATAGTCTGCCACCATAAGGATAATAATTGGTGTTTGGGTTGCTGTAAGAATGAATGAAATAATGTTAACAGGCAGTGAAGTACAGGGGAAAATGTTTGAATTCTGGAGTTAGAGTAGCTTGGATTTTGATTGTGATTCTACTACTTCCCAGCTATGAGAGAAGCTGACCATGTTTTGGTGGGTTCTGTCCATCAGGACTGATTGAAGAGGGGGTAAAAGTAGGGGGATACTTCAGGTATTTTTCCTTTTTGCTTTCCTGGTGTGTCTGGTGGGCTGTTGCTGGTTTGTGTAGTGTTTATCAGTGACTTTCCTGCAGCAAGACTTACCTCTTATTTAAGATGATTATGTTTATAATGAAACACTGTGGATTTTTTAGATTGAAATCACATAGGAGGTGATCCCTTATCACAGCCCTTTGATTTGGGCCGATTGAGGAGTTTGCTAATTTCTAATACCTCTCTTCCTGGGTCATAGCAAAGACAAAATGAATTAACATGCATGAGCTCGAGAGTGTAGGTGTCGTGGTGGATGGGCTGAGTGTGGATTTTTGGATCAGATAATGGGTTTGGATCCCAGTTTGGTTTTTCATTAACTGGGGAAACTTATATAAGTCAGGTCCTGTCTCTGAGCCTCTGTTTTCATTTCTCTAAAATGGGATGATGCCCTGGGTTACCAGGTTGCACGACTGTAAGTAAAGCCTCTCATCGCATGGTATATGTGAACCGTTTCCCCAGAGGTGTCACAGGCCCAGTCTGCATGGCCCTGATTGCCTCCGTCATGCACAGCTGTCCTGAGGGTGAGAAGAGGGATGGTGGAGAAGGGCCAGTGTGAGCCTGGGCGGAGAATATTATCAGCAAAGGTTTGCTCCCCTCCTGCCTTCCCTGAACCCTGGGTGGGGAGCAGTGAGTTTCCTGGAACCCTTGCAGAGAGGTCTTTTCTACTGCTCCCATGACAAGTGGGCCCAGATGGCTTCGCTGAGCGCTTCCCTGGGGACTGCGGAGTACTCTAGGTTTCTCACAGCCGACAGCCCTGGGAAAGGGGCTGCTGCTGTGGGTGGTGAGGCTGGAGAGTCAGGGGTTCATTAGCCGTGGTTTGGATCTGGACGGGCCTATCATACGGCTGTGCAGTGTGTCGCACTGGTTTTCTGATCAGTCCAGTATGTTCTCAGCCACTTAGCCCCTTCGTTATCTACTTGCCCTTTGGAGCCTTGAGGCAAAGTGCTGGGTTTGTGGATGGGATTCAGATGGACCTGAATTTGAATTCCTATTACTTACACCCTTACTTACTGGCTGTGAGACCTTGGCCAGTCGCTCATTTCCTCCGAGCTTCATTTCCATTATCTATAAAATGGGAACAATAGCCCCTATCTCTCTGGCTGGATGTATGAATTAACTGGCACAGAACCCACATAACTGAGTCATTAATTAGATGGTATTGATTATTTATTGAGTGACCAGGAAGCTTTCCAGGTGCTGAGATGTGAACAAGTAGGCAGTCTGGGTACTTGGGGGCAGCAGCTGAGCACAGCTGAGTAAACTGGTCAGATGGTGAGGGATGGTGCTGGTCAGATGGTGAGGGATGGTGATCCATGCAAGGGGAAGATTGCAGGTGCAGGGATGCTGTTCTGTGGGTCATCTGGGAGGGCCAGGCCAATGAAAGAGGGATTTGAGCAGGGCCTGGAGGGGGTCCCGAGTGAGGACATGGCTCTTCATGGGAAGACCAACAGCCAGCAGGAAAAGCGTGCAGGTGGTCGAGGGGAGGCCTCATGTGGTGGGTGTTTAAGTATGAGATGAAGTGCCAGGAGGTGTGGGCAAGGGCGAGTGCAGGGAGAGGAAGGAGCCAGACAGTCCCCACCTGCAGGCCACCCCAAGTAGCTCAGCTTGGTCAGGAAATGCCCTGTCGCCTCCTTTCTCTTAGTATTTTACCACTTTTTAATAGACCTTTAAAGAAAGTACATTTATATTTGCAAATAACCTTAAAAAAAAACTTTGCAGTTTTCCCATTCCCACAAAAAAACCTACTCTTCAGTGCAAAATAAGTCCCATCCTTGCCATTAAGTGGCTCACTTAGAATCAGCTTATATTTCTAGTTCATGCCTTACACATCTGCTCAAATGACCCTCACAATGATCCTGTGAGCCATTGTTACTATGCCCATTTAACAGATAAGGAAACTGAGAGGCAGAGAGGTGAAGGGCAAGAACAAGGTCACACGGCTTGCAAAAGGCAGACAGGACGTAGGCCTGGGTTTTCCCGACTCCAAGTTTTTTCCGCAATCCTGGCTGATGACGTCAAGTACTGGAGCCTTTGACCTCTGACAGCCTCCACCTCCCCTCCTCTGTCTGCCTCCAGCATCTGTTTCTGTTGCTAATGTCGGTGTCTGAGACGCAGGCATCTCCCTAACTTGCCAGGCTTGATGAAGCTCAGTGAATTTCTTTTAGTGATGATGGACATAATTAAGTTAGCAGAGGAGATGTCTCATTGCTGCCAGTATCAAATAGAAATGAGAAGGAAGACGGGTTGCACTTTAGCTCTGAACCCGATGATGAGCTCAGTCAGCTGGAGGGTCAAGTATTCTTGGAAGAGGGAGGACCCCAGCTGAGGGCCTGGTTGGTTCTTAGGAATATCTCACATGCACCTTGTCCTAAGCAGCAAGCAATGATGACAGCAGGCATGGAGGCTGGGCCATGGAAAGTGAGTGCTTGAACCAGACAGGTAAAAACGCTCTTGAGAATATGTCAGTAAGTGGCATGCCCTTCATTGGTTCTCAAGCTTCAGTGTCTGCATAGATAATCTAGAAAGCATGCTTAAAAAAATCCAGATGCCTTTACCACATCCCCAGAAGTTTAAATTCAGTCTCTTTAGAGAGGGTCTTGGGATCCTGATTTTTATCAGTCATTCCACATGATTCTGGTGCAGGAGGTTCCAGAAACATTGGCACAGGGGTTATGTGCATGAGCTCTGGAGTTTTTCGGTTGTGTTTTTGGAGCTGGTATGACTCAACACAAGAGATCTAGCCTCCTTAGTCTTTGCTTCCTCCTGCTGTGGAATAAGCTGTAATATACCTCCCTCAGAGAGTTGTTGAGGAACATATAGGACCATGCACATAACATTGCTTTAGTTTTGAATTGATGGGTTGCCAAGAGTAGGAGGCCCAGCCTGCAGGTGGAGGACCAGTCAGCGATACTTGAATATCAGTTGCTTGGGGCTCCAAGTCCAGCAGATGCCAACTCCATCAGCAGGACCAATCACTCAGTCCTTCAAGGTTCAGCTCGGACATCATTGCCTCCAAGAAGCCTTCCTATGGCTTTATGCCTTGAGCTCCCACTACCTGCTGCATCCCCTTCTATGGAAACATTTTTCACATTGCACCAAAACAGTCTGCTGCTATATTTCTCTCCCTGAGCTGCACTGCAAGCTCTTCAGTGGAAGGGACACTTGCTCATCCTTGCTTCTCTGGGACCCAGCACATAGTGCATTTTGCACAGCTATAATCAGGATATGGAAGCAATCTTATATTGCTTTTGCCTTCCCTCCACACAGTAAGCATTTGCCATGGTCTGAAGTCTTTATCCTTAGCATTTCTATTGCTGCCTAATGTTCTACAGAAGTGTTGCTCTCTGAATGTTTGAACTATTCCCTTATGAAGAGTCCTCCTGTATTGCTATTACAAATAATGTTGAGGAGAATCTTTGTGTCCCTCCCTGGTTTGCACAATGGGCTCCCGCAGATTATCAAGAAAACCACTAGATTCTAATAGTAAATAATTTCAATAGATCATTGTAACAAGGTGGGATGCAATCCTCAACCACATAAAAAAAAGGGTCAACCTCACTAGGTATCAAATGCAAACTAAAATGATGCCTGATGTTTTATCTACTAAATTAGCAAACTTGAAAATAATGGTAATTTCCAGCACTGATAATGACATTAAGAATTAGGTGCGCTTGTTTAACATTGTCTTTGGCAGTGGAAATTAGCACTATTTGGCAACGGGTTTAAAAACCGGTAATCCCACCACTTGGAACACCATGGTAAAGAAATGACTTCTTGTACAAATTGGAGGAAATCACAAGTCTGTTAATGGTTACTCATACTCTTTTGCAATACAGAGTCATCTTCTCTGTAGAGAAAGCAGCTTCCGTAGGATTCTAGCCCTAGATGGTATGAGTTCCAGACTGGAGGTGGAGGGAGGGATAAGAGCAGCCTCCGTGAAGATGTGATTCTTGATCTGAGACTTGCAGGGTCAGCAGCTACTTGTCCAACAGATGGGAGAGTGGGAAAAGGGAGAGATGGGTATCCCAGCATTTGTGAACGTGTGCGTGTGCATGGCTGTGTTTGTAGAAAGGTGAGTGAGTACTTGGGTGTGTCAAAACAAGAGTCTGGAGGGATTGCAGATCATGAATTCTATGCCATGCTTGGCTGTCCTCTGAAGGTGGTGGGGTGGTACTGAGTTAGAGAAGTGACACGGATTTTAGAAAGCTGTCACTGACTGCTGGGTGAAGGATGGAGGCAGGGAAGCCAAGTAGGAAGCTGTCACAATAGCTCAGGGGAGAAATGTTGAAGGTGGGCCCGTGTGAAGGTGGATTGGTTGGAGGGAAGAAGATGAATTGCAAAATTTTAGGAGCTCACCCCCACTTTTCTGTATGACCTTCCTCCAGGCACCTTCCCTGGGGAAGGTTCCACTTTGCCGGGCCTCTTCCCGGTACACGGGGTCTCCTGGAAGCCTGTGGTGCCCATCAGCTCACGCACATTGCAAACTCCGCTAATGGCATGTTGGCTAATTGCATAATGCAGCTATCTGCCTGTGAATTGAGGCCCAAATGTTGTTCTTTGCAGGGTAATTATGCGGGATAAGTGAATGGCTGGAATATTTACAAGATTTTGTCCCTTGGTCGATTTCCTTTCTCAGAAGACAGCCGCTGTGTGGGGTAAAACATA